GATGGAGGTTGTCAAAGGCTGGGAGGTTGGGAGAGGTTAGGGTTTGAGAGGGTGGGAAGAGGAGTTGTGAAAATTGGGAATGAAGGGTTTGGAGACAGAGTCTAAGTGAATCAGTGATGTTGTGCTATGTTTTGTTTTTTATTATTATTTTTAAACCTGGCCCAAAATGACGTCATTTTGAGGCCAGGTCAATTAAAAAAAAATTTGACTGAGCCTTGGACCAAACGACGTCGTTTGGCAAGGCTCGTTTAAAAAAAAAAGAAAAGGATGCGCAGCGCACGCACAGACTTCACAAATGGCCTGAGACTTTCGTTGAGCACTTGGTGTGCATACAAGGGGGCTTCTAGCAGTTGTCCTAGGGGGCTTTCATGGAGTCCCTTGCCAAATTTCCAGCCTTCCAAGGGGTCATCCGACCCATCTTGTCCTAACGTGCGTCCGCCACTGAAGACAAAGATCAAAAAAGAAAAATTGTGAGCTTTTCAGTGAGAGATCGATTCTTTTAGGGTTACAATATGAGAAAAGAAGTATGAGAGAAACTGAAAATAATAGATTGAAGAGAGATTGGAAGATTAGAGAATAATATGGTGGATTAAATAGAGAGCATGTTCCATGGAGAAACTAGCAGTAGAAGAACCAAAGTCTTATGGAAAGAGGAAAGCATGGGGAAAAGGAAGCATCTTTCTTTTGCGAAGAGTAATCGTGTTTTTCTTATTTGATTTGAGTGTGTTTTTCTTAATAAGTTGGACGCTTGGTATATATATAATATATAAAAAATTTGGGGCCCCTTTAATTGGAGGCCATCGCCCTTCGCAACCACCCAAGGGCGGCCCTAATACTAATTAGTGAATCAATTGGGTACAAACACCTAAGGTCTTATATTCGAATATCTCCTCCTCCAATATCTCTTTACAAAAAATAAAAGAAAGGTACAAACACAAAATGTTGTAGGGCTTATTAGGTTATGATTTTGAAGTTGTCCACGTCCACCTATGGTTTATTGGGCTCATGGCTTATTATCTAGTTCTTGTCGGCCCTTTTCTAATATGGGCAAAAATCTTCAATTGAATCATTTTGAATAGACTCGGAGCCACTATATTGGACGAGTTATGACCCAAAACAACTTAGTTCCATGGAGCTCTTTGCCTCTTTTAACAGCACATAGGCCTGAACCCCATTTTATAATATGTCTCATCAAGGATCACAAGGTTGTTCATTCTGTGTTTGTGATATATATATACATATATATATATATATGTATATATATATATATATATCATGTTGTATTGTGTTGTGCTACATGTCTAATAGTACACAAAATATCATACATTTATTTATGAACAATTGTTGAGAAGATGTTTGCTTAAATGTCTAACCCAGGTTGTTAACAAGCCAAACAATCTGTCAACATTTGTGCACTAGTCTTATGCAACTGCATTTTGCCCATGTCAAAGTATTCTCTGTTTCTTTACTTCAACATTTAAAAAAAGAAAAGAAAAGAAAAGACATATATCATGATTAGGTCATTCTATATGTAATTGATTTATTCAATTTTACATGAATCCAACAGTTTTGTCTCACATATTTTTGCATATATGGATGGTGATGTTCCTCAGTCCCCATCATGTGGTTATCAATGGGGGATTCCATCTTTTGTACATTTGGGACCCACTTCATACTTTTACCAGTTAATTATGTTGAGTAAAGATGTAGAGGTTATTTATTTATTTATTTATTTATTTATATTTTTACAAAAGGTTTAGGCAGAGATTGGCTACTCTCACTATTAGCGCCAGGGCAGACCTACAATCTCGAGCTGGAAGGACTTATGGGTGGCACCCAATTGCCATCCACTATCAACATGAATTTATGTAGGAAATTACAGATCATGCACCGACAAGGACTATTGAGAGTGGGACTCGAACATTAGTGGAGCTAGATACAATATAAGGACCTTATCAACTGAATCAACCCTCATTGGGTACATGTAAAGCTCCTTTATTTCTCACTGTGTCACAACCAACCTACTCCCTTTTTCCAGTTCTATCCTTTCATAGGTCATCTCAAATTTCCATCAATATTTCATTACCTTGTCTTAATTTGTTCATATGACTCGACTCAAAAGGGTTCCACAATTTATATTCATTTTTGATTGGACAAGCAGCTGTGTTGTTCATATCCAACCCCATTATTGCAGTGAGGAAACGTAGAAGTATACAAGTTTATGTGCCTGAATTTCAGAATATCTAGGTTTATATGTGAATATATTGTGTGGTATATATATCTTGCTCAGTTGCTTAATGCTTAAGGCCTAAAGCTAAAAAATAAAATAAAATAATGGACTTGTAACTCAAGTGATTAAGAGCAATTATCCCTACATGAAGTTCTAAATTAAATTCCATTCTCCAATATCGGTTATATAAAAAAAGTTCTAAGGACGAAAACAGTTCCTTAATTAACGTCCAATCGGATCTTGAAAGCAAAGCAAGATAATGGTTATGTGCTGTGTGGTGAGGCCAACATGTACGGATAATAATGTTGCTATGAATGGACATATGCACCTACACCTTGCTTTGCAAATATTTCAAAGGGAAACATGATAAATATCCTGGACCAAATAACCAAGGTCATTGCTAGCGGCAGACAATTTTCGAGTCATTTAGTCTTTTTAATAGATTCTCTAAGCAGAAAAAAAGAAAAGACATTAATATTTGAGGTGTAAGAATAAGATTTTTGTAATATATGAGGTCTTTGTGATGCTTTGATATTCAATGGTCATTCTCTTTTTTCCAACACATTGTCATTGACTCAGTAGTCAAGTACTGGAATTATTGTTCTCTCATGCAAAACTCTGCATGCCTCAATACTTATTTCCAGAGGTCGCGAGTTTTCATCAATACATACTCTCTCTACACTCTGTAATCTCATAGTTTTTATCTTGAGTTTTGCATTTTACTCCGAACAATTGATCTCCAAAACTACCTAGAACAGATGACATGACTGATCGAATCAATGCAGCTTTAACAGGAATATATATACGTACATTATTCATACTCGACTGCATTTGAATGACTGGTTGACAATTATTATGTCACTTTGAGGGCCATAGTGGGTATCATATTTTGTTCCACCAACTCCCTGCAAAAGGGTTCAAACAAACAGCCATGCACTCGATGGCTGACAAGACCTCAACACATTAATTCATGCCACTTCAACCTCTGCCAAGTTCCTAAGATCGAAACTATATAAGCAAAATTATATAATTACTACTTTAGATGTTAGTCTTTGTTATTGATCAATTTGTAGTGAGTAATTTTAAATTTTACTAAAATTCAATGGGGTGTAAAGAATGTGGGGTGCAAAGAGCAAATTTTGGGATGTCAATAAATTATCCGAGCTGAAAAGGCCACAAACTACTGCTTTGGAGTCAATCAAGCTACACCAATTAAGCATTACTTTAGGTCTTAAAATGATGTAGTTTAGGCAATTAGGCCCAAGAATCCCATGAGCCTGTCTAGTTAATGACAATTAACATATTATGGATTACGGTGACAAAAAAAAAACATATTATGGATTACAGTGAATTTAAAACACATGATATATGCAAAGAACTCACTAGTGTACTGGTTTGGAGTAATTACTATTTCAAAATAGGGTGCGATTAGATGCAGTTAGCCTAATCTTTAAGTCCATGACTGGATGCTGAAAGAGCTACAGTATTTTATAATTGATTTCATGTTTAATCAATAAGAGGATAAAAATTGATAGTTTGTGGGCTAAGAATCTAATAACTTAAACAAGGGTTAGCAGAAACTAGGTCATTATAACTTTCTATCTAGTTCTGTATCATATACCACTAGTTCTATATTATGGTTATTATCGCTTTAAAAGGCCAATCAAGCTCACTTTAGTTTGACATTCAACCAACTCATTATAATTGTATCTTGTTGATGTCCAAAAATGAAACCAAGTATTTCTTCGGTAGCATGGACCCTACTACAGGTATATAATGGAAAGGATCTGCAAGAAGGAGTAGAACAACGGTAAAGCTTTAGGCATTGGTGCGGTAACGGTTGAAGGTTTTTTGATGCTTAAGTTAGCTTAGGATGGAGTGAGAATAATTGGATAGAGTAAGGATTCTAGTGCCAAGTTACATGCATTTGGGCAAGAGCCATATTTATAGACAAAAGAGGTGGAGCACCTTGGGTTGTAGTTTTGATGTGGGACTGTGGACATCGCCTGAGGGGTTGCCACGTGTCCTGACATGAAAGTGGCACAACATGTGCCTTCGTTGAGCTGGCTGCTGAAGGCTAACCCATGCTGATGGTTGCTGTGAGTTCCAGGGACTAGGCTGGGCCATGTGGGCCTTTACGTTACAGGCTACTCATTCCACATGTTCAGTTGAGAGGATCTGATAATATATAGTATGAACATGTCTACCTTGCAAATTAACTGTTTTAAAGTCAATTTTTTTTCCTTTTCTAAACAAAATATTAATTTTACTAATTATAGGAAGTTCTTTTTTTGGGTTACATTGACGTTCGAACGAGTTCAAAGTGAGGTACCATGGGGGAGGTGGAAGTGGTGGGATATTGGCTAATTATAGGAAGTTGACACATTAACAAAATACATATCGTGACTACATAGTGCTTTCTTAATTTCGAATCTCGCACTCTCATTAATAAATAAAATATAAAATAAAATAAAATGCATACCGTGCACACATAGTACTTCCTACCAACTACACAAATTTATAGAAATGTTATATTTAAGAGAGAAACTTCCATATATAGAGCATATATATACATATATATGATTCGAAGAAGGCAGTATATCCATCGGATGCCCCTTTCTAGATTAAGTTATATGCACCTTGAAATTAAAGGTGATTTATATATATTACTATTCAGTAAAGAAAATAAAGACAAATTAGGTATTGTGCATCATCAACAACATCCGAAAAGTATTTGCACACACATTTCTCACATAATTGTATATATTGCTTATATATAAAAATTAGGGTTCTCTTTGTTTCTCCCATACCTAACAGCTTTTAAGATCGATCTTGAAATTAAGCAGCAGCAGCAGCCATGAGTAGAGGTGGGAGCTATGGCGGTGGACAAAGTTCATTGGGGTACTTGTTTGGCTCAGATGAGCAACAAAGCCCACCTCCGCCATCTAAGCCGATAACACCCCCTTACGGCATCGATAGCTTGGACACCGTCACTGAAAAGCCTCCAGGTACCCGTAACTCTGCTGAAAAAGAAAAGGCAGCAGTTTCCAATAACTATCACAGAGCTGAAGGCCAAAATTCTGGGAACTTCTTAACTGTAAGTTTTTCATATATTATATTAATTTATGTGCAAGATGTGTTTTATTAGGGAATTACCTGAGCTTACTTGTAATATATACCACATGATCTATATATATATTTATTTCAGGATCGTCCAACAACAAAAGTTAATTCAGTTCCTGGGGGAGATTCATCACTTGGGTACTTGTTTGGAGACAAGTGAAAAAATTCTGAATTTTTCCCACCTTCTCTACCTATATATATTTTAATGGCTAGATTATTTGGGTTTTGGACAAAACAAAAAAAGTGTATAATAAGAGGGGTTCATCAGTCCCTTAAGTGTGAGATTTGCAAGGTAGGTACCTTTTTCTTTTCTTTTTTTCTTTTTGGGGGAATGGGAAGACGAGAATCGATAGATCAAGAACTGGGTGTGCTGATAAACACTCAATCCTGGCATCTATGAGCTTCCAAATTCGTAGATACAAGATTAGGTTAGCCTGCTATATTTGGGTATCCTAATCTTGTCAAATATATAAATCTATTTTGAGCTTATTTTGGTGTTTAAATTTTGATATGGTTCAATTATATATATAGATGTAGCTTGGCCAAAACGGATCCGTTTTGGTTTCTTTGAACTTTGAACAAAGATACCTCTCTCCGACCACTAATATTATCGAATTGGTGCTTGCTTCTCTTTTCTTTTTCTTTTCCCTTGTTTATTATATAGAAACGTACATGAGTTCATGTTTTGGGTCTACTCTCATGATTTGGTCTCTCTGTCTTTCTGTTGTACTAATAAAAAAGCTTCCCTTGTTGGTTTGAATTCTCAGAATATATCTTCACATGTGTTATTATTATTATTTTTTCATTCATGGTCATGGAATTAAATAAACAATAAATCAAAATATTCCATTAATTTCAGTAATTTCATGCTGTAAGTATTGTGTTTTTGTTCATGGCCATGGAAACAACAAATTATTTTGTTTCCATCTGAGTTCATTTTTTTATGATTAATGATTTTTGCAAACAACTTCATGTGTAAATTGTGGTATATGTAGCTATTTTAAATCATAGATTCATAAAACTTGAACAAACTTAGTACTTTCCCTTCTTTTTTCATCCTCGAGCTTTGTTTTGTGTGTGTTCTATAATGGAAATTAAGAGTTTGTGATGGGAACCAACTTTTTCTTTATATTGTGTTTGACTGAGTAGACATAAACCTACTCCAGTTTATACAAATATCATTTTGTTGAATCTTCATCAGCATTTATGCATCATCAACAGAGAGAGAGAGAGAGAGAGAGAGAGAGAATGCGAATCGTAATTATGCTTAGTTATGCCAAATTATGCTTAACTCACGCACCTCAAGCTGAGTACTACCTATATGCATGCTTAGTATTGGCTAGTTATCTAGCCAAGTAGCTAGCAAAACTTGTTGGTTGGTATGTGGGGCCATCATTTGGAGCACTCAACAACTAGCTCCTCAAATCCTAGATCCTGGTTTTCAGTGTTTTTATATTATAATAGTACTCTTATCTGCCTGACTCGAATATACAGCTTATAAAATTACAAAAATTTATTGGACAAGATATATAAGTGACAGGTGACAAACCAAGAGAGAGATGAAGGGCCATTTTTATGGACGTTCCACGAATTCCTACAAAATCTGGTTTTATATAGATGACTTGGATAGAGTTGCAAATCTTAGACATCTAGAGTTTTTTTAGGTCAAAATCTTCTTATGCGGACATCTAGATATTATTATTATGCGGATGTCATATATTTTGTATTATCCTTTCCTATTTTTTTGTTTGTTTATAATGACATCCGCACGATAATAACATGTGGACATCCGAATGAGAGAATAATTATACATATATATTGTTGCTCAGATATCCTATAGGCTAGCTTGCATGTATATGTATATTTGTATATATCTAGTTGTGTAAATACTTTGGCCAGCCTTGTCGTGCTCTCAGTACAGATACAGAATGTACCATGCCAGGCACTAGCACAAAATAGGTAGTGCTAGAAAAAACCAGTTCATGCCGACATGACCTATATTTAGTTTTTATTGTCTGAATAAAAAAGGGTCTTCAATGTTCGAATGCTCGCCATTGCCCAAGCAATAACTCTTACTATAATCTTTAGTTACATATGATTTTGTTTGCTTTTTTTGTTTTTGTTTTTTTTGTTTTGGGTCAATATTTTTTCTTTCTATAACAAATACTGCGTGTTTTATCTTGCAATCTTCCATTATTCAAAATAGCGCAATTATTGCTAACCCAGACTAGCAACTACCTTAATAACTAACATCAAATTTATATTAAATTGTACCATGACATGAGTAAAACAACTGCAAATATTTCAAACTTGGGCAAGGAGGTCAGATTCCACTTGTCTCGTTATGGTGGGCCAACAGGCTTATTTGGGTTAACATTTTTGGTCAAAAATTGAACTTACTTGACCTTGGATTTGTCAAAGTCTCTTCACAAAAAATTTGTGGGCATGCGGCCGGGCTTTCTTGGGCTCAACCGGGTGGATTCGGGCTTTAGACACCCTAGTCCAAATCTAACTAACTGAATAATGGATTGGGCTGGACTGGGTTTCGCGTTTCACTTTACCCCATGTCGTCAACTCCGCTACAGGATTTACAAAATGTTATATTCTTCCTTCTCCAGCAGTTCACTTTCTATTTTTCTTTTTCTTTTCTTCTTCTTCTTTCAGTGCTTGATCTTGCTTGTTGTAAGCCCTTCTAATTCATACATGCTGATGCATCTCTTCTAATTCGTCCAAAGCAATTCCTTTATTAGACATACTTTCCGGTGTAAGTCTCAGATTTTCTTTCAAATAGATAAAAACATTTGATGTGCATAAAATTAAAGCATCTAGTCTCTTTTCCTGAGTTGGAAGAGGGGTGGGGGATAGTTGGGTTTGTGTAATATGGGGTGGGGTATCATTTGGGGGTTGCAATTTAGGGTGTGGGATCAATTGGGGTGGCTGGTAAGGATGGATTTGTTGAAGGTGGTTGGGTGCAGGTTGGCCTTTAGTAGGGATGACAACGGGTTGGGTAGGGGCTGGATATGACAATATCATCCTCATCCCCCCTTTTTATCCCTGTCTCCGTGCCCGAATCCATCCCCATTTAATAGGTTTCGGGGAATTCCCGTCCTCATCCCCGTCGGGAGACTATCCCCCTATTAAAGCATCTAGTCTCTGTTCCTGAGCTGGAAGAGGGGTAAGGAATAGTTGGGATTGTGTAATATGAGGAGGGTATCATTTGGGGGTTGCGATTTGGGGTGTGGGACCAATTTGGGTAGCAGGTAAGGATGGATTTGTTGAAGGTGGTTGGGTGAAGGTTGGCTTTTAGTAGGGATGACAACGGGTTGGGTAGGGGCCAGATATGACAATACCATCCCCATCCCCGCTCTCTATCCCCATTCCCGAATCCATCCCTATTTAATATGTTTCGGGAAATCGTCGTCCCCATCCCTGTCGGGGGACTATCCCCCATACCCTCCATGAATCCTAGATTTTTTTTTTTCGCATAAAAAATATTATCATACATTTTAACATTAAGTTATCATTCAACACATCCAAATTAGCTATAAAGTTTAACTCAACTATTCAAAATCACATCAATATGAAATTCCAGAAAAGATTAAGAAGAATTAAGAGAGGGAGGTTAACTTAGGATTAAACATAAATATTATAAATATTTATTTATTTATTTAAATATAAACATATATATTTTCGAGTCGGGTTCTGGGATGGGGACACCAATACCATCCCCTCTCCATACCGGTCGAGGATACTCGTACCCGATACCAATTTGGCCCGAAATCTCTCCATGTTAGGTTCGGAGACATGCCCTCGCGGTGATTTTTGCCATCCCTAACATTTTGGAGTTGTGTGGTTTGGGGTTGGTGGATGAATGTGCTGAAGGTGATTGGGTGGAGGTGGTTGGTGGTTGTGCAGTAGTGATGTTTGTCATAGGAGAGTGGTTGTAGGGATGAGGTGAGTTTTGTGGTCTGAGAGAGATGGGAGATAGGGATTGTTGGAGTGGTTGATCTGGTAGGTGGGTGTTGATGTCCAAAAAACCCAAGGCCAGGCCCAAACATATTTCTAGTTCAAATCAGGGAAAAGGCCCAACAGAGAAACGTGAGAACTTGTCGGATGCGTCTGAACAAGTCATGAGCCACACGCCACACTAAGCAAACACACAAACCCACTACGCACAAGGGTCAAAACTAGCTTATGAGATGTACCGGCCTTGTGAACCCACACACACTGACCTGTTAGTTGCAATTTGGTCCGGTCATAGCCTATTATAGCACAATAGAACTCAAGCATGAACATGTCAAATAAACACGCAACGCCAAATCAAAAGACCGTCATTCTAACTCCAAACCACGCTTCAAGCTCAAGTGGGCCAAACCACGTAAAAACCTGGGGCTTGCTGAGAAGGTTGTGGTATGGATGGGTACAAGCCTTCGCGATGCCCATTGAGGATTCAAGGGATGGAAGTTTTGGGTTACTTGGAAGCACCCAAAACTCAATCCCATTTTTTTGGGCCCAAGCACATGGGCAAGCAATGGAGAGAGAGATAAGGTGGCCCAATGCCTTAAGAGAATATATAAAGATCCGCAACACTTAGGAAAGCCCCACGTCAGTTAAGGTACCTAGTGCCTCTTTAAGAAGCCACTTCCAGCAACTTGACTAAACCATAAAAGACTTAGCTGATTTCTGGAAATAGGAAGCCAATGACCCAATGCCTTAGGAAAAAGCCCAGCCCAACGCCTTATAAAAATCTGGCATCGTATCTAGCTATTAGAACCAATGAAACAGAAGCCATTGCAAAGACCAAAAGAAATTCGCAAGGTAGATAGAATACCCGATGGATTAAGGTCCCTACCCTTGTTTCTTTCTTCTTCAAGATTTAATAGGAAAACCAGAGGAAAATAGTGGGTGACGCCTCACCCACATGAAGTGGTCTAGCTGCGTCAGAGCCTTAGAACCCCAAAAACTTCAAGCTTATGGTTTCAGGCTGAGGAAGTTTTCATCGAATAGGATCAAATAGAAGAAAGGCTGGAGTGCCTATAAAAGGAGGCTTCTTCTACCCAGTAAACACACCCTCATCAAGAGCACGACCAAGCTTTTATCGATCAACTGGAAACTCACTCAAGAGACTCAATTCTCTGCTCTCATCTCTCATTTTCTTCTTTAGTTAAAATCATCCCAAAATCTCTCTCCCTTTACTTTAAGCCTTCGTTTC